TTTTTATGAGTTATCTAAGTAGTGGAAAGTTGTTGACAAACTATAAACAATTTAATTTTTAATGGAAAGTTGAATGAATGAATGAATGTTTTTTATTTCTGAAAAATTACAATTACAACAATACATAGCACAGTTTTCAATACACTATCATCAACGTAAAGTATAATATATTACGCTATTATAAGTAATCTTACAAAGGTTTTTACATTAATAACTTTTTTGTAATAATAGCTGAATATACAGGTTATGAAAATCACTATTAAATAAACTTAGAATACAAACCATAATTTAAACTATAATCCTCAATGTAAAAAAAGGATCCTGTTCAAAAGTTGAAAGTGATACTTTACTCTAATAACACAAATAAACTAAAACTTTTTACTGTACACACATGTTAAGCAATATTTCAGAAATATCTAGGGCCTCAAAAGCAAAGCCTGTGTGGAGGTTCCATCAATATCAATAAATCTAATCAATGCGCAAAAGAGTATCATTCTAAAATAAGTCTTGACTTAAAAAAATGTTGGTCTCCCTTATACCTAATAAATGCAAACTAAATCAAAATATTAAAATAAAACATATAGTGTTCTAAACCAAAACAATGTAGAATGAACAATTATTTCTCTACATTTAAAATTGAGTTAATATTTTCATGGCCAAGTAACCAAGCTTTTGTTTTTTTTTTAAATATACACAAGTTTTTAGAATTTGCTATGGCTTCTGGAAGTTTAGTGAAGATTTTTGGACCTAGAAAACAATAACTTTTGACAAAAATGATAAATTAGGTTTTGGAACGGCTAGCGATTCTTGCTTCCTCAATTTAACTTTATACAGATTCTGTAATTTAGGTATGTTACCACTCATAACATAGAAAATCTTTAAAGCTTTAAAAACAAACATGTGTTTCAATGGAAGAATACCTAGATCTAAAAATACAGGCCATGAGGGTTCCATTTGATTTTTACGTTTAATAATCCTTACAAATTTCTTTTACAAAATATAAACTGGTTTTAAAGTTCTGCCAAAAGCTCCTCCCCAGCAGAATAATCCATAATTTAGCCTACTACAAATCAGTGAAAAATACAAGACTCGTAAAATCTTTTGAGAAAACAAATAACGTAAAAAATAAAACTATCGTAATGAATTATTCAATGTTTTCTTTAACAAAAGAATGTGCTTTTTTCAACTAACCTCCTGATCTAGAGTTATACCTAAGTATTTTATACTGTCTGTCTGACGAACAACACCACAACTTACAGGACACTGAGTTCTATTACATAAACAGTCAATACATGTATAAATGATATTGTCACTAAATTTTATTTCATTTCTTAGGCAAAAATTTATGAACTTAGTTTTTTCAGGACTAAGTAACATGTTATTATTTGAAAACCACCATTGAAGGGCTTTTAAATCCATCGACATTGCTTGCTCTATATCTATCCAACTATCTTTGACATAACAAAGAGCTGTAATGTCTGCGAATGATGTTATCTCACCAATTAAGTTAGCATTGCATAGGCAATTTATATACACTAAAAATAATATTGCTCCCAAGACAGAGCCCTGTGGTACTCCACTTGTGATTAGACCGAGATTACTATAAGTATTTTTAACTTTAACACATTGCCTTCTATTTTCCAAGTAAGATTTAAACCAAGAATGTACTTTACCCCTAATCCCACAGTTAAAGAGTTTGCTTTAAAGAATTTGGTGATCAACTGTGTCGAATGCTTTTTTGATGTCCAAGAAGATCCCACTTACTTTTTTCCCACAGTTTAATCCAGTGTATATTTTATCCAAAAAAATTTTCAGAGCTGTTTCAGTGTTCAACCCCTCTCTAAAGCCAAACTGCCTTTCACTATAAAACTTTGATTGGTCTAGGAATTTAACACGTTTCTTTTTCATTAATTTTTCAAATAATTTAGCTAGAGTTGGTAGGAGTGAAATTGGTCACTGCTCGTCGTTCAATGCTCGTCACTAAAGTCCCATTTTGATGCCAGATTGTGTTTTACATGCTTGTCTTTGACTTTCTACTTGCATGTAAAACACTATCTCACCCCGAAATGGATCACTTTCGTGACTAGTAGTGAAAGATGCCATTACTCACAGATGTACCATTCTTATACTATCTAGGCCTAGGCTTTATTCAACTGTTAATTCAATTTTGTTTTTTATTGTTTGGCTTGTATATTTAACAATATAAATTATATATAATAACTTAACTATAAGATAGCTTATCAGTTTTTAATATTGGAATACAAATTGATGACTTGCTATCCTTGATGCACAATATACAATTTTGTTTTGGTTGATTGTATGTGTTAACAAATACCATAAAAATATGTTTTGAAACACTATATTTTGAGCAATATTTCCCCCCCCCCTCCCCGGAGCCCCAAAGATGTTTGTTATACATTGCACCCCCCTGTTCCAATTCCTGCGGGCTCCCATGCCCCCCTCTAACACTTGTAGACTACCTGGAAAAGAAAAGTAATGTTAGTAAAGATAGCAGGCACTGCATCCAAAACTTGTCCACATGTATAATGTTAGTCAAGACAACTTATTAAGAGTCTTCCGTAGTGGAAGCCATGTTGGATTTCTTCCCCATAAGAACAATGTTAAACATTACATCATTTGTGGACACGTAACGGCGTTATTTGTTAAGATATAGCTTTGAAATTTATAATTTGTATTTTTAACATAATAGACTCGTGACTGAGGTTTTTGAATTTCGAAAATCCATTTTCATTTCTTTTCAATAATTAGCTTAATTTTAAGCTAATTAATAATCAATTATTCATTATAAAAATTAAAAATTGTGAAATAAAAACGTCAATCTCTAGAGGACCGCAATTCCTTAAATTTAACTCCTTATCCATAATTATATGACAATTTGCTGATGAGATATTTGGACCCAAAGTTAACATTGTTCTTATGGGGAAGAAATCCAACATGGCTTCCACTACGGAAGACTCTTAACACTGTCTTCAATGAAGATTAATAAACAATCTAATCAAAAAAATACACTAATGCAGCTCTTTATATGGTGTAGTGACAGTGGAGCGAGTGGGGCAGTCACTTCTTTATTAAGTTTAAATGTTATATTAAACTATATAATATATTTATTCATGTGTAACATTTGTCACTAAATTCTAACCTATGAATGTACGCGGAACCAAGTCTCCTGCGCTGCTGTGAAGGCACATCGGCTCATGTACCTTTGAATTTAGCAACAGCACTCATTTGTGGGTTTCTACGAATCACACAAATTACACGGCAGTGTTCAGTATTGTTTGTTGAGTGGCTGACTTATTTCATTTATTTGATTTTGGAATTAGAAGTAGAAAATAGCTGGAATATCATGGTTTTTATTTTTAAAATAGGCAAACGTCAGATTGAATAGCTTCACCTTATTCTTCCCTATTTTACAAATAATAATCATGATATTTTAGCCATTGTTTATTCGATATTTTTGAACTTCATATCGTTTGGTAGGGAATTAAAAATGCTAAATAAAAGTGTTTTTTACATTTTTTCATAAAACCAGCCATTCTATGGTAGCTTTAAGTTTAAAAATTTAAAATGGCCGCTATTTTATTAATTTAAAAGAAAATTACTTTGTTAGCGAATTTCCCATATAGGGAATAAGCTATTATCGTAGAACTCATGGTAAGACCTGGTCGTGGAACCGATTTTTTTTCGTTTTGAGGTCCCTAGAGGCCAAAAACACCATCCGTTCAAATTCATTTATATATATATATATATATATATATGTCCGTTAGCACGATAACTCGAGCAAAAATGATTCGATTTTGATGAAATTTGGTACAAACGTGTAAACCTACGTTTATTCGAACGAGTTCGCGATCCAGCATGATTGGATCATGGGAACGGGGGTTTACAAGGGGTTTATGGGGTAAAAATAGGGTTTTCCCATTTTTGACCCAAAAAACATAAAATTTAGAAATTTCTTTCCAAACCATTTTGTAAAGCTAAAAAAAAAAACAAATAATTTAGTAAATTGAAGCGTTATTATGCGCCTAATGGTTACGGAGAAAATTCCAAAAAATTGTAAATTTAAAATTCCAATGTTATTCTTATGGAGAATAAGTAAACTGTTGTAGTTTGCTTGTTTATGAACATATTTTGATCAAATTTGGAAAATGTTTTTATCTCTTACTAACTATTAACATTTTACAAAAAACAAAACAGTTTTACCCTCCCTGATGCAGCAAACCTAAGTACTTGTTAAACTAATTCTATTTGAATAGGGAATAAATGTTATATTTTTAAGCAGACATTTTAGTGTACCGTAAATCCAATCAGTCAAATGGAAATGCGCTTAGACTGCAGGTTTGCTGCGGCGGGGGTATTTTTTTTTGCAATTGCCTCTTGAGACAGTAAATGTATATGTAAATTTTGGTTTCCGTAGGTTGAATGGTTCTTGAGTTGTTGTTTTGTAAAAAAAACATACTAAATGGCGGCTAGCGGCTAAAATAAATTTATTTCAACCTATGTTTATATAAACTTTTTGTTTAGATTTGGTGAGAACTATCAGCCCCTGGAGTATTTACTTAACACCCTGTATATTTTTTAAACAAATACATATTTTTTCCATATTGCTGAGAATCCAGAATTACCTGTGCATAATTATAATATAAGAGGTGAAAATTATTTACTTAAAGAACAACCTAGACTACTTGAACTTTCTAAAATAAACCTTCTTATAATGAAAACTATTTATTTAGAAAACTTCCGCGTTTAAAAATAATCATATCTAAATTAATGAAAAAAAAAATGAAGGCATTCTTACTTGACCTTGCACCTCAGTATAGAAGATTTTAATAATTTCAATTTTAAAAAAATGTCTAGTATTTTGTAATGTTTAACTGTTTCTTATATTGCTAATTTAGGTGGTAAGTAACAGTAGACTTTTCGTGTATAAAAATTTGTACTGTATTATAAATAAAGACTTTAAGAATCTTGAACCTTGAGTTTCAGAAGAGTCCAAAGCCCTCTGCAAACTCATTGATTGCTTTTAGAAGCAAATAACGAAGCTTCGATGTTGTCTCGTAAGCTGGTAAATCTAACTGGTTAAAGCTGAAACACAGAAAAACAATCTCAAAATTAAGGAAATACTTTTCAACTGAATGTACAAGGAACAACTCAATAAGGAATTGCTAAAATGATTTAGATTAAGAGGTATTTACACTATGCCTTTTTATTTGATCATCTCAGTTAACACATATAGTCCAGTACTCAAAACTGAAGACTTTTTTGAATAATCAAAATTACTTTTTTAAAGGTTCTGGAAACAACTCTCAAAAGTTGTTAAATCTTTTTCGAAATAGTTAGTTGCACAGTTAAGGTTAAACTCCACAAACAACTAGGATAATACGACAAGACTATAATCGAATTAGAGAGAAAGTTAGTGTAGGGAATCAAACTTGACTTTCATCATTATCTGTACTAATGATAATTTAATCATACGGGAAAGGTTTAGCTACTTATGTACGTACCAAGTATGGGCTGAAGGTAGACGATCTGTAGACAGTTCGTCACGACAGATCTTAAACTTCTGGATCCCTTCAATACCTTCCAGAAAAGCAAACCCTTTAAGTGGAGGTTTGGGAGATCCTGTGACGAACTGCAGGAACTTTGCTCTGTCAGCATTATCTAACTCCTCTAACACCTGCCAGAACCATTGGATCTGAAAATTATAGCAAATTATTTAAGAACAGCTCAGTATGGTCAGAGCATAACAAGAGAATAAAAATTTAGTGCAAATAACATACGTGAAAGAGCATAAAAGACAATATAATTTGAAATGTGTAATGAATGCCGTTAAATCAACTCAGTTCCTTCTTATGTTTTGTATTACACTTTACTTTACAAATCAGTATTTAAATGTATTTTATAATTTTATTTTATTTTTCATTGCCACAGACTATGCAAATACGCTACAGACAATTAGTTGTGACACAAAATCAATCTGAATTAAAAAATACGTATTCTCAGTCTTTGTCTTTGAAAACAAAGTCTAGAGGAAGATATATTAGTCCCACTTATGACCAAGGAGAGTGGAGGAAGAAACACAATAGGGAAATTAGTGGTAAAACTGTCAACTTAAGTGAAGGGAGAGAAAGGATAGGAAAAGCAGGCTTACCTTAAGAAATGTAGGAACACAGAACACAGAACACAGAAGAAAAGACAAAATAAAATAAACACTGGATATTTCGAGGCCACTGGCCCCTTTCTCAACATGGAAAGTCACATTAGATATTTAGAGTCATTCACTAGTAAGCAGTCAGACTGATATCTATCGAAATATCCAGTGCTTATTTTATTTTGTGTTTTCTTCTGTGCTCTGTAGTGAATGAAGTGGGATGCTTATCCTATCCTTTCTCCCCCTATTTTCAGGCAATAAGCCCTTTCTCTTCAAACCTTAGTTTATAGTTAGATATTTTGATTAGTGCAGACACTGTTAGTGAGATAAAGTGTAAAAGACTAAAATGGGCTGGACACGTTATGAGAAGGGAAGAAATGTCTCAACTTAAAATTTTCAATAGAAATAACCCCAAAGGAAGGAAGGCTTTGGAAGGGAAATAACCTCGTAGGAGACCGAAACAGAGATGATGGGACCAGGTCGTCAGATTTGCAGAGAGTTGGAGCCACAGAACAGGATACAGGTTGAATTGGACAGGATTTGTTCGTGCGGCTAAATATACCCTGCGATATAGATGGCCCTGGGAGTAAGAGTAGGTAAGTAAGTATTCTCAGTTATCTATTCACCTATATTAATATATTTACTACAGTAATGATTGACAATTGATTTTAAAATTTAACCCACTCCAGTGTAAAACATTTTAAGATTAGCTAACAAATTAAACTTAATCGACTAAATTGGTGACCAAATCAACAATTCCCCAATCCATAGCTTCCCTCACCATGCCTTGACAAATTTATCTTCCCAGTAGACCTAAGAAGTATATCTCTTTTTAGTCATACATTAATACATATCTTTAAATACAATTATTATGGTAATAATCCACAGAAACAATTAGAACTCTATCACTCACAGGCCCATGTAATAATTCTTTTATTTACATATTGTAATGCTGCGTTATTCCTTGTCGATTGATTTGATTCGTATTGTGTTTTGTTGATGCAAATGATGACATTAATGTCTATTTACTTTTACAGTAGTACCGGTACAGTATTTATCGTTGATTTATTGATTTGTATGTATGTATTGTTGGTGTATGTATGTATTTTGACAATAGTTTCCAATTATCTATCCCTTCCCCAATTACTCCGCATTTAAGATTCTACTGTTATCATTATTTTAGTATGATCGTTAAAGAGTGACGACTAGGGCGCAGTGAAGCTTCCAGCAGAAAATCTTTTAGTATCAAGTAAGTCCGTTGACTGAACGATTTTCACAAGAAAATATTTATAATCAAGAACTTCTTACAATACTTAAATAGAAATAAGTAAACTTGTAAAAAATACCTGTGGTGAGTCGGGCTGGTAATTTTGGTAGAGTGTGTTAGCTTTCAGTTGACACAGGTCAATATCAGGCATCCCTGATATTAAAAGCTCAAGCTCCTTCTCGTTGAATATGCTAATCAACTCCTTGGGGATTATTTCGTAGAATCCCTCCAAGAAACTGTCAAGCCTGGAAATGATATTTTGATTGATAAATGATGGTGTTAGACAATATGTGATGGAAATAGAAAATGACAACAAAACAATTACATTACCCGTAAAGTCTAGAATATAGGGTGTTAATACCGGTCTTTTAGTTAAATCTTAACATATTTTAACAGGTAAATCTTTTTGAATGCCTATCTTCCTGTAGCATAATGTTCGATGGTTAACAAGGTTTGTTAAGTATTTATCGTACTGAACCAACGGCTGCATAGTAACATGCCACAAGCTGGTTACTAAAAGCATACTTAACAGTAGGTGTAAGATTAAAAAGTGTTTAGTTTAACTGTATTTAGAGTCCAGTTTTTTAAATACACATTTTAAACATTAATTAATTATTATATCGTATACTTAAATAAATATTACATTAATAAATAGGTTTATCAGAATAGTGAGCTCTGGTGGCTGAGACTTTACTATTCTCAATTCCCATACCAAGGTATTTGAATCAGAGGTAGGCTACTGGTATCTCACCCGTAGTAATGTGGCCTTGGTAAATTCCCAGTGGGTAGTACCTATTTATAAATGGGTTTTTAATCCAGGACTAGATAAGATATATATCCAAAAGTGTGGGTATTTGTAAAAAGTATGAACATTAGCGGTATATTACGTATACAACAATTAGAAGATGGCTCCTCAGTCACAAGTCTGTTTCTGAACTTTAGCAAGGCCTTTGACTGCCTTAACCACAAGACACTTCTTAGAAAATTGGAAGCTCTGGGTATTGAGGGAAAGTCTAAACAATGGTTCCACAGTTATCTTAAAGGCAGACAGCAACTAGTTGAGATTCAGCATGTAGAAAAAAACATTTTTTACACTTTACACTTAATTTACACTTGACTCTGTACATTGTACTTTGAATTGTATATTATCTCCATTGACCTGGCCTATTGTATGACATGTATACTTAATGGCAATAAAATATTTGAAAAAAAAAAACACTCGCCATAAAATACATTCCAAATTTTCCCTATATGGAGAGTAGTACCACAGGGATTAGTTCTCGGACCAGTCCTGTTCCTCCTCCTTTATAAATGACCTACCAGACCAGCTACAAGAATACTGCCAAACCACACTGTATGCAGATGACACTGTCATCACACTAACTGACAAATCAACAGAAACTTTAAACCGAAACATCAATATAACCTTCAACAGGACTAAACAATATTGTACAGGAACGAATTGGCTCTAAATGAAAATAAAACTGTTCAGCTGAACTACTCCACTAAAAATAAAGATACAAACGTATTAATCCCTGAGATAGAAGAACAAAATAGCACCAAATATCTCGGCATTATCATGGATTCAAAACTGACATGGAAATAGCACGTTGACCAACTCTGCAAGAAGCTACGCTCTAGCATTTATGTCATCAGACGAGTGAAGCAGGTTGGTGGTCTGGAGACCGCAAAAATAGCCTACCATGCCCTGGTCGAGTCACACCTCAGGTATGGTCTGGCGGTCTGGGGAAGTACATCTAACAACTATCTAAAAAGAGTACTTATCCAAAAAAAGAGCTATAAGATGTCTAGCAGACCTTCAATATCAAGGAAGCAATCGTGATGCATCTAAGGAACTAAAAATCCTTACACTGACATCACTTTACATCCCTGAGGCAATTCTCCATGCCATCTCCACAAATCAAACAAGAAACAGAGACATTTACATCACAATACACGGAACGCCTCAAGCTTTGCAATACCACCTCACCATCTAAGTCTCTTTGAAAAGAAGCAATCCTAAAAATTCCCCTGTATTTCAACAACCTACCATAACAACTTAGAAATGAACAAACTCACCGTTTCAAGAATCAATTAACAACATGGCTGCAAGAAAGGCCATTCCACTCAGAAAAGAATTCCTTAACAACCAGCTTCAACAACACATTAAATCCAAAAATTTTTGTTATTATTCTGACACATGTACTCAATGAACATGTAAATAAAGATTTTTGTACTGTATTGTTGTGTAGTATCCTGTTGTATGGTAGTTTGTGTAGTATTGTATTGTTCATTCGATTTTTCAAATATAGATTAGTAATAAGTGGTGGTCCTTTGGACACCCTGGGTAAGTTAATTCAAAATTAATGGGGATTACAAACTTGCAAGATTGTAAACATTTGCCAAGAATAGGAGCTATTATTCAAGAATTAAATTCTTTGATGAACTAGGTTTTAAATTTACCCATAAGGTAAAGTCATAATAACTATACCCTTGTATAAACAAAAATTTAAAGGTAACCAACATATTTGTATGACATATACGTCATTAAAAAACTGTGAGATACTTATACATGAATACTAGTAAAGCAAACACATCACTACTATCTAATACTTACTAAAATGTTGATATTAAACATATTTTATGTTAACAGTTACATATTACAGATTGAACTGAAGAACATACTGTTTTTGGATGGCTCCAGTCATCTTCATTTGGCAGACTAGCTGTATGTACTGCATTTTGTTATCTTCCGTAACATTTATGTTACGACCATTTGGTAGTAGGTCTCTGACGACAACAGTACCACATTCTTGCACCTATAAAAGCAATGCATTGTGATGAGCATAGGTTTAGGCATGGACTATTGGATACAGAAGAAGACATCCCATCTATATGGATCAGCTGTCGCCAATTTTTTACTAAAGAAAAAGGTAGTTGTGTGAGCCAGTCAGAGATTGCGCTAGTGTCTAAAACTCTATTTTCTACCTTATTTTTTGTTACTGACATAGTTGCTGGGTCACAACAGTTGCTATAGCTCATAATAAGTCATTCCATCATGTAATCGGCAGAAATCTGTAATTTAGATCAGCGCAATCTGTAGGTGGCTCACATCAACTAAGACAAATTTTATTAAAACCTGGCTACAACTTTAACATGGGGATGGAATGTCTAGTTGTTGTATTATTAGTCAAAGGTTTAGGCTTCTACAATCTACTTTATGAGGAAGTCCTTTATTAGGAATAAAAATCAGTGTTATGTTTTGTAATCCTATTGTTTATCTATAAGTTCCTAAACACAAATCCTGAAAATTACATCCTTAGGTTGCTAGGTTAATTACATCCTTTCCAAAATAATAATTCTATTAGATATATTTAGTTTATGCAGTAGAATGAACACAATTTTGCACACTCTTATCCATTGTTGTTTTTCTAGAGGATTGATCTTATTATAAGCTAAAAAATCCACGTCTGCAAATTTAACTGCAATAGGTGAGTCAGAAATATATAAAGATATTACAGAACTGTTGATCTACTCAATAATGTTCCAAACAGTTGGCACATTAATTCCAGGGGGGAGGGACAAAATTTTATTCAGAAAATAAGCTATGCTGAAATACCCCAAGGACAAGCCACAAGACACTCAAATTTCGTCCCTGGGATACTCAGAAGGAGCCGATTAAATCTAGGGGTCGAGATGGAAACTGTTCAACAGGTTTAGATGAATGATAATTTTAATTAAATTATTTGAAAGGGTCAGATTCTTATTACAAAGTCTTCAGGGACCTGATTTGTGATTAGGAGGTATAAACAAACATTTTTTTATGATACAGATGAAACAAATTGAAAAAGTTACGATTCTTCTATTCAAACTATTGCTTACTGTCTTCACCTTGGTTTAGACGTCTTCTCAAAGAATTAAAGCTAAGGGTATTAAAACGACAAATTAAAGAGAATAATTTTATGTTAGTATTTACTAAGTTAACGGAACAAGATGCAGTTTTAAATATATAAATTAGCAGCTAAACTACAGACACCAATAGTTAAGTTACCGGCAGGCAGAAATTGTGGGTCTAGAATAGTTGGCAAAATTTACTTGATATAATTTAAATATGTAAATTTAAATTGTGAACAAAAGGTAGTAGCATGTAGGTGAGCTAAGAAAAAATCACAAGTAAATTGTGAAGAATATAACTACTATAATAGCTAACCTTTGGAATAAAAAAAGGTATATTTAAGGCGTATATTAGATGTGTACTCATTGAAGGCGGACAAACGAATCACCTCCTTTGGTTATGTTCAGATTTCAGTTTACTGACTTATTTCCTGTCGATCCTTAGGAGGAGCATAGGACATCGAGAAGAGCTCGCCATCCATCCCTGTCCTGTACCAGATCCCTCAGCTGACTCTAAGTCTTTCCGATACTCAAAGCTTCCTTCATTATTGTTCTTCTACAGATGTCACAGGGTCTTCCTCTCTTTCTCGTCCTTTGGGAATTCCATTCCAGGGACTTCTTTTCAATTGATTCACCCGTCTTCCGAAGAGTGTGACCCAGCCACCTCCACTTCTGTCTTCTGACTTAACTTCATTATGTTCAATATTCATTCTAGTGAGGCTAATTATGCTTGTCTAATGAAGTGTAACCCACCTTTGTCAATATTAATGCACAACTAACCTACCTAGTTAAGGGGCCCACCAGATTAAAATGCGGAACCAACCTCCCCATTTATGACCCTAGGGTCATTATCTGCGCAACTAACCTACCACCGAGCTATTTTTATTAAGGATGGCTAGCTCATTGCAAAGATGTCTAATCTTTAAGAATTAACTATGACTTATTTAAAATGGGCTACATAGCATTCATAATAACTAATACAGTAAAGTGATTACTTAAGTCTATCTACCAGTCCCGAAGAAGATTTCTGTTCTGAAACAGTTAAGGTGGGTTATGTTAAATGATGAGGCTTAAATTACTCACCTCCGTACTGAATGTTTGCTCATAGCCCAGCATGTCCACATGGTTCTCCTTGAGAAAGATCAGACCCTTGTACAAACTATAATCTTCACTCTCCATGTCTGTATAACTGACTGGAATTCCTAAGATATGTTTGTAAAAAGAACGAGTGAAGTAGCATCCTAGCAATTTATTGTCGAAGATTGCTTTGGCTGTAACAAAACAAAAAGATATTTGTCATGTATGGAACTATAAATAACACTTTAAAAATAATTATTGCCAAATAGATTACGTTGATATCATATTTTTAAAATATTTGGTCAGATTTAAGTTAGTCAATTGGTCATACACTTTTCACTGTACCACTGAGGCAGGCCCTACTAGAAAAACAGGCCATGCTGCAGCACTGGCAGCGCAACACTACGTCACAGTGGTGGATAGCTGTACTAAAATCTTGCCTTTAAAATTTTGACAAACAGCAAGAGTATTTACCTAAAACATATGGGATATGGCAGTGATTCTATCCATAAGTCTGACGTCATGGATTCAGCAGCATGGTCTGTTTTTCTAGTGGGGCCTTGCACTAAGCCTAATGTTATCAACATTATCAGTTATGAATTGACACTTACCGACAACTCTACCAACAAACTTGAAGTAGCAGAGATGATTAGGATTGCAGTGTGAGGAGGGGTTGATCATATAGGTAACTTGGTCCTCGGGTGATGTGGTAAATAGAGTGTACATAGGGTTGAAGATAGCATGTGATAATATCGTGTACCACTCTCGAAGTAAGCCCCCTGCATCTTGTCCCACTTCACCTGAAATGCAAAAACGGATTCACCATCAGCATCAAAGAAGAAACAAGTAAATTAGTTTTCTGTGGAAATAAAAAATAATGTAAGGGTAACAAAAAAAAAAACACCATCATTTGCTTAAGTGTCAGTTATAACTTTTTCATTGTAGTGTTTTTTGGTGTCAACCGTGGAGTCATTGATACACTGTTGCTAGACGGTTTGCCCGTACAGTAAAGTGGCATCCTCAGTGGCTATGCTGAGACTGTATTAGTGCCGCATTGAAAAAACCTATATGAACTCTCAAAAAGATAATTATAACTATAATTACATGAAAATGTTTGTAAACTCTAGCCATTTAAGAAATACACTATTTACATACTGTAGTTGCATACATTTTACTTATGGAAAACAATGTAAGTCCAGAGGTGTCCAATTTCATTTATGCAGGATTCAATCACCTTTAAAATTCTTCCATTATCGAGATATTTTTTTTCAGTTTCTGTAATAGTGTTGTTTTGAGTTGAAGCAGGTTATCAGCCCACCTCTCTCATTCCTGATGTTGATGCTGCTAACTACGACTTCAGGTTGCCGAACTTTCAGTCGGGGTTTACTTCCTTAGCCTTTGAGTTCTTTACTCTAACCACACAAGGCAGTTCATCTGCCTGAAAACACAGTTCTTTGACTCCACCTGGTGTTGTCCACCAATGGGCACAGCCAACTCTTGACGTCTTCGGTGCCATGCCATTACTGATGAGTGCTGCTACCCGTCACCAGGATTATTTATCGACTTACAGGACTAGATCCGATGGGCCATTGAAATCAGGGCCACCACAAGCAGGATGTGGCTCTTAACCACGCAGTGTATCCAGGACTAATAAAGTTTGGAAACTACTAGCCAGAGTTCTAGGGTTTCAAGGAGTTGTATCATGACTTCCCTTACTTAAAACTTTGACACATTAGTGTTCTTGGGGCCACAGAATTTGACTGATACGTAAAAATCACCCTTCCTAGAAACATGGCACACACCACGGTCTTTGGTTCCTGAGCAGTAAAAAGTAACAGTATTGTAAAAAGAATATTTGTGTTCCCACAGTGATATCCATTGTTATAAGACCAGTAGGCTGAGCTTAGAAATTATTACTATACTTATAGAATTACTCAAAATAGTTTGAAATATTCCTCGATTAATTTATTCAATAATTTACCAAATTTTGTTCAAGTATTACCATTAGATAGATAGCTTTTAAGAATTTGATATTAAAGTTCCGTTTTTATGACCTAGAAGTATATTTTGACATTTGTTTTGACAAATAAAATGTTTTATCAATTTATTATATACAATATTGACGCAGCCTATACAGCATTGTATGATTTTTGTAGATTGCTGTCTTGGAATAAAGATTAATTTGATTTGATTTGAATTAATAAAATATAATATACTAGGGATGTAGTTTTCATTGCTGGTTGTGGCAAGTTTATTTCATAAGAATCTTACAACATGAATGGTAGTCCATTGTTTTGAATAAGAAAGAAATTTAACTGACCTTCAAAAACTATGTGAAAGCTGTTCATCCACTCTTCAGGAGTCCTACACTGCAATTGCGTGAAAGAGTCGTCAAAGACTTCGGTTCTTCTCACATGCACCTTTAAAGAAGAAATAATGTATTTTTTTGGAAAATTTGAAGAATTATAACGTGTAGCAGACCTGGGGTCTAACATCATTGTTAAATCAACTTGAATAATTACAACAAAATGAAATAGTATTCAGCCTTAAAATAAATTAAATGAAAAATCATTTATTAACAGGCAAAGCTATGGCCACAGGAACCTTACTTATACTTAAGCTGTACTTTAAAATATGATATAATTATTTTAACAGAATCAGTTTATACGATAAAACAAAACAGAAATCATAAATACGGAAACTTTGAACAAAAATCAGTAAATTTTAAAAATACTTACACACACATACATACGTGTCAGCGACCGCTTACAAAAAGAGTAGAAAGAGAACAGATAAGAAAACAGTAGCTTTCTAAAAGATTTCCAAAGACTTTTTGGTTCTCATACTATAAATCATTTACCAGATAAATGATAAATCTAATGATTTATAAGACAATATTTACTTCAAACTCCTTGAGCAAAGAAGTGCAACCGAGTAAGCTCTACCAAGCTCAATCAACTGAGTGCAAGCATTCACCTTTTATCTCCTTGAGGGCTTGACTACTTTATAACAAGCTTTGCACAAAATATCAAATTTATACATTTTTCCAAATTCAAAATTGGCAGCCATTTACAATTTTTAATCTCAAATAAATAACTTTTAATTAAGTGATTATGCTAAAAATTACCAACTGTATGCGTTTTTAGGAAATTTTATTACTAATTCAACGATTCTTCAATTGTAAAAATCTGTTAAACATTCAAGATACAACCATTTTTGTAAAAACCATGTATATCTAAGTTTTGATGGTTCCATTTCTTTCAATTGTTGCACTGCGCCATTTGGCATTTGTGAGGTACGGCAGGACAAACTGGATCTTGCACAGTCTCACAAAAAATTTAATATCGTAAGTGTTTACTATCCGATTTCTTCAATCAAGGTATCCTTGGATTCGTCATAAAATTTCATATACACAATAGTTTTTTAGTATAATTACTTATTTCAAGATATTTAGGGTTTGAAAATTTAAATGACTGCCATTTTAAGTTGGTAAAATTTTGAAATTTGATATTTTGTAAAAATATGTCCCATCTGTCTCCCTGTGATAGTTTTACTGTTTAACACTAATACCAAAACCCCGGTTTGACAGGCCCACAGGAATTTTCAAAAATGCACGTTGGCAACACTGTTTACTTGGGAGATTCCATTCCCCCAATACCTTCCCCCCTTTTCCTCCCCTACCTATTGATATATTGTTTGTTCATTTGCATGTGTGCCGTGACCTTGACAGGTTGTCTGTTCATAACATGCCCGTCTCAGAAGCCCATTGTTAGTATATTTTAAAGCGGGGTCTCACAGGCCAAGGGATTCGGTTTGTGTGTGTCTAAGAGGAGTCCATTATTTTTCAAATGGGGTCTCACAGACTGGGGGTTTCGGTTTACATCAGCCTAGGTAGGGTTTCGGTATTAGTGTTAAGATAATAAATAATGTTACAGTATTTTTTTATTTTTCTATCAATTATTTCTTTAATGTCAATTTGTATTTTTTCCTTTTCTCTGTAAGGTTATAACTTTGCGAGTCTGATATTGACGTAGCTTATTGTACTATGATGTAATTAATGGCTGAAAAATTTACTATTATGCCTATTACCTCGAGGACGCCATCCTTACGATCCAGTTCCTCCTGGAAGTAGTACTGCTTGATAATAAATGGACTATTGATCTGGTACTTAGTTGTCTGTTCTATGAAGTGGCCAAACGCAATCCTGGGAACGTCTAAAGGACACATAACACAAGCAGATATCACTATCGAGACTACATCATTATTTAATAAATTGCCAACTGAAATAGAAAATATAACTAATTAAATCTTGAAATCCAGGCTTAAGTATTGGTATCTTAATGAATCCATACGGAAAGTAAATAAAAGAAACGTCTTATAACACTTAAAACATATATAAAAAACCAGTAAACTAAACTGTATAAGTATGTATAAGTGTATACTGACAGTGTTACTCACAAGACGGTAAATATAAATAAAAGATGGCAAGTGGTGATAGAAATAGACGAATAACCCTATATAATAGTCAAGAGACGTATTTAAGTATCTGCCGCCTTTAAGTCCCCGCCCCCCCACTTTTCAGCGCACTCCCCGACCTCACTAATATCACCCCAATGGCCAATATATGTCCTGTCAGTTTATTTTGTAGAAAAATAGTAGGCAATATTGCATGCTGCATCAAAAAATGTAAAAACCTTTTCGGGAATATGTCCCTGATAATAGTGTTATTTGCCTATTAGTGCAGTAAAAATAAGATACAAATTCCATAAACCTAAAAAAAATTAGCACAACCGGGGAATTTGGTACAGATGTTGGGTGTACCTTCCTTTTGAACATACTAAAAGTCCCCTAAAATTAAAGCTGTGCTACGGCCGCCATATTGGAAAATGGCGGCATATTTCTGTATTTTTCGCTATAGTGACTTTATTATTAGAGATACAGGAAAAAGCTAAATGTATAAAATGTAGGTCATCTAAAAATACACATTTTTTGTATTTACCATCTTTCTCTAAACCCAACGGTTTTTGAGTTATTTGTTATTAAGTATATTTAGTTTTTTCTTTTTATCAAAAATAGGTGAAACACATTAAAATTGACCGTTACTTTCAAGGATTATGATAATTTATGCCATTTAGTTAAATAGTGTGATACTATAAAATCTAAAAATTTAAGCTTATTTTATGAGTAAAACAACTCTGCCACAGCAAACCTGCAGACTCAGCAAATTTCCATTAGATTGGATGTTTTATTAATTTTATTTAAATAAAATTAGATTCAACAAGTACCTAGGTTTGCTGCTACAGGTAGGTTATTATAGTATGTGTTTTTTTAGTAAAATATCAATAACTTAGCATAAAATAATAAATATATAAACAAACAAACTGAAACAGTTAACTAATTCAAAATAGTAGCATGGTAGCTTAAGATTTACAATTTACAAATTTAAATATACAAATTTTGGTTGTGTTTACTAAAAATATGGCGATTATTCATCACGTTTTGAATACTAACCGAAGGGGTTTTCTAAAGGAGATGAAGCTTTAATTTAAGTAATTTAAGTACTGTAATATTAACTCGTACCAAGTATCGTAAATATTGTATGCGGTGAGGAAATCAACCATATTTTATAAACTACGCAATAACATTTTATACTCATTTTTACCCATTTAATAAATTAACATTTTAATATTTTGATGGCACTACCACTATCACTCTGATATCAACTAAGTGGGATGAATAATTGTCGTAAACCTTGAAAGTAACCGTCGATTGCGATGGGTTTCACCGATTGTTGATAAATAAAACTAACTATACTATACCATACTTAATTAGTCACCAACATGAACTAGACACGAAAAACACCCTTCCAAATTTACAATGGGGTGTCAAGTATAGTTAGTTAGTGTGGTGGTGCCATCAAAATACTAAAATGTTAACTATTAAATGGGTAAAAAATGAAGATAAAATATTAATATGACTATTGCGTACTTTACAAAATATGGTAGATTACCTTACTGCATACAATATTTTCGGTGCTTGGTACGAATTAATATTACTTAAATAACAGGCTCCATCTCCTTTTGAAAACCCATTTGGTTAATATTCTAATCGTGACCATTCGCCATCTTTTTAGTAAACACGACCAAAATTTGTTTACTCAAATATTTGTTTATTGTAAATTTAAAACTCCCATGCTATTCTTATGAATTAGTTAACTGTTGCAGTTTGCTTGTTTATAGATATATTTTGATGAAACTTGGAAAATTAGTTATTTTATAGTTTTTTTATTCATAAAATAAGCTTAAATTTTTAGATTTTATAGTATCACACTATTTAACTAAATAGGATAAATTATCATAATCCTTGAAAGTAACGGTCAATTTCCATGTGTTTCACCTATTTTTGATAAAAAGAAAAAACTAAATATACTTAATAACAAATAACTCAAAAACCGTTGGGTTTAGAGAAAGATGGTAAATACAAAAAATGTGTATTTTTAGATGACCTACATTTTATACATTTAGCTTTTTCCCGTATCTCTAATAATAAAGTCACTATAGCGAAAAATACAGAAATATGCCGCCATTTTCCAACATGGCGGCCGTAGCACAGCTTCAATTTTAGGGGACTTTTAGTATATTCAAAAGGAAGGTACACCCAACATCTGTACCAAATTCCCCGGTTGTGCTAATTTTTTTGGGGTCAAAACATATTTTTACTGTACTATATTTGGTCCAATGATGATTAGAGTGTCCGATTAAAATTGAGCACCACTTACTATACTTTAGGTATATTTTATGGTAATTTTGTCATAATTTTATAAGTATGGTGGCAACCCTGGTTAGTATAACAGTAGCTACCTATAATAGCATACACTATCATCTGGCAACTAACAGGGTAGTTAGTCTTGAGCGAGTCATTGACCTGTTATCACCACCCTGGGTCTGGCATACCCCCACGTGCATGCTTGTGTTCATTGGGGGTCTTGTGTACCCCGGTGCGCATAGTAGTGTCTTAGTTTTACTATCATAATTAGTATTAATAACTTTATACCTTTATTATTTATAATTTTGATAGTTTTGAAAGTTTGAAACATGGACATGTTGGTTTAAAAGCTAGGCTAAAAACAGTGCAATCTCAGAAAGACAACCTTATTCAACTCTGCAACAAAGAAAGGGAAGAATACAGAAAGAATGGTAATTGCTATCACAATCATTGTAAGATATGAAAAATTAACAAGGAAGAAGTATATTACTTGAGACAACCTGTCGAAAATTTCTGAACTCAGCCCCGAAGCCATTGACAAATTAATAACCGTACTAAGAATCACCTTAGGGCAAAACTACTTCTCATTTAACGACAAATTATAATTACAGAACGACGGCTTGGCTAAGGGCTCACCTCTGTCCAGCATATTATCTGAAATCTACTTGAACCACTTCCAGAATGAATCCATTTCCTCTGACAGAAATAAACTCTGCAATAATATAATTTCCTACAAAAGATATGTGAACCACATATTTTTAGTTTATACAGACAATTATAGACAACTGCAGCTTCTGAACAATTATTTAAATAACGTATCTTCTAATTTAAAGTTTACATTGGAAATCGAACAAAACCAAACTTTAAACTTTAACGTTAATGCACAACAAAGAAAATGACAGCATCAAATTCCAAATTTACAGAAAGCCAACAACCACTGATCACACCATTCACGCCTTGTCTAATCATCCCCAAGCTCACAAAATGGCAGCTAATAACAGTTTTGTTAACAGAATATTAAGAATCACAATGTCCCCAGTAGAGTACAAATCGGAGTACCTCATTCTGAAACATATAGCTGTTAGCGATGGCTACCCCAGCAGTATCCAATAATGTGGTCAATAATAAAAAAAAGTGGTAAACAGATTGATAAACCCAGCAACTTAGTTTCTGTCGAATTCAGAGCCAACCTACACAATACCTTAAAAAACGAATTGAAAGAACATAATATTACCCTAGCCAAAACATCAAACAAGCTAGAACGTCATTTGAGCCGATCAAGCTGTCAACAAAATGATAATGATTTAAATAATACAGGTGTTTATAAACTATCTTGTAATGACTGCCCCAAATTATGCATAGGCCAATCGTTCCTTCAATACCAGATTTAAGGAACAGCTCCTTAAGCCAAAACTATCACTACAACGATCCAAATTTGTAGAACATCTAGTAAACGCCAATCACAATGTCAATAGTTGCCAAAATCATTTACAAATTTTGCACAAATGCAGTAAAGGCCCCTGTCTTAGAGAACTTTGAAATTTATAAAGCTAATAAAAAATCCCCTTAAGACACTTTGAAAGAAAAATTAAATTTTGGTTCAAATACTTCATTCGACAGAATTGAAAACATTGACATTAGAGCTACTACAAGTCTTTATCAGCTGATGTACCAAGGTCGATGTCATTAACTGGACAATGGATGGTTCTGTCGTGTCCACCATGTAACCTGTGTCGGTTTGTCCTATGTATCAATGTGGCCAGCCTATCATCTTTTAAAAGTTTTTAAAATGTGTTTTTTAATTGTTAACTTTATGTGTCTAACTGTATTTGCGTGTTGATGAAGACTTCTGTTGGATTTATGACCAACTCAAATTGATGTTTACAAGAATTTGATAATGGGTCTTTGAACCAAAACTAGTCATCCATAGACTAACTTAAGACTGAAGACCGACTAAGGTACGTAACCTATTACCTATATATTTGAAAAATCAGTCTTGGTGTCAAAGATGTTGAAATTGTTTGTCGATATTTGGTACATTCCATCCTTATTTATTCTTTTACCATATCTTGAAGTTCATAAAACTTTTCCGTTGACATACAGAAATATTAGAAGAATCTTCTTCTATCCCCTAACAGGTCATTAAAAGCTGGTAAAATTCTCCTTATTCATTTCTTTTCTGATTAATTTCATGCACCCAAATGGACCTCTGATGTTTATCTTCTTCCTCTGCTTGGAAATGAAAAAAAATCTTCAAAAATAAAATAACATCTTCATCTTGACTTAACTCAATGATTATACAATTTTTTTTTTAATACAGTGCATCCCCTCCACAAGAATAATTCTCCATGCCGCCCTGCGCTTCTGATAGAGTTGTCAGGTGAGCGCAGCCCCTGGAGAAGCGGAGGAGATTTTTTCTCCACACCGTGCCGTGCCGTACCGCGCCGTGCCACCCGCTGAGTTGCTAGGTGGTCGCCAAGCTTAATACATAATAAACTAATTTGTATTTTATGTCTGTCATAGTGATAGTGATCAAATGATCCACATGAAATTAACTAATGTAAACATATGATACTATTGATATTAGTGATATCAGCAATTACCATTATCAGGGAGGGGTTCCATCTCCAACCCAAGACGATGCATCATTAGTGGAATCTCCTGAAATCAAATTATGATGTTAATTATTTTCCATACATAGTTTAAAGTTACATGAACTATAAACAGTTAATATTTGGTTGCATTATCTTGAACAGGGACTATTGGCGAATTTCCCATAAAGGGAATAAGCCATTATCCATGGTAGGGTCTCATAGAAGGATCTGGACACGAGACAGATTTAATTTTTGTTTTAATTTCCTCAGAGGCCAAATAAATCATCTGTTCAAATTCATATATATATGCATAATGTGTCCGTTTAGCACGATAACTCAAGCAAAAAGAATCAGATTTTCATGAAATTTGACACAAATAGGTAAACCTACGTTTATTCAAACCACCAACCAGCAGTTAGTTCACGAACCAGCATTTAATTGCTTTGGGCTAAGTAGCTGTTAAAAGTGGAATTGATAAAAATAATAATAACATTTTTGCTGTATCTTTATTGACACTGACAATTTGAAATACAGCATTGTACGATTATTTATACAAGGTTGGCAACGCTCTGTGCAGCTGGCGGGGCCGTGTTAGCGACCTCCGGACTTATAGCCAATTACGCCGCGAGACAAAATCGAGTTAGCAGGTTCCGAAGTTAGCCAGTTCCTGAGTTAGCCAATTCCTACGTCTCGTAAATACCGTTAAAGATGATTAACAATAAAATGTTGTTATTTAAGTTGCACCAGAATGATCTGGATGCTTAGACCTTTAAATTGATGTATCACACAACCCATGTTTGGAAATTATGTTATTGGATTCGGCATGTCCAATTAAGGGGAATATTAGAACGAAGAAGTGTTAAAAGCCTTATCTTTGTACACATACGGAAAGTTTTCAAATGAACACCCTGTATACTTACTTTCCGTGTCTGGAAATCAGACTACGCTTTTCCAAAAATTAGCTACCAATATGGCTTTGTCATTCGCATGTAAAAGATCATCTAATGTGGAAGACTGGTCTAGGCACTTTGAAGACTCGTGGGCAGATCAGCAGATGGCCAGGATCCTGAACAGTACTACATGAGCACAAGATGTTTTCTTCGTGTGGTAAGGGACCCCATTTCTGCATGTTTGTCTTGAATTTTGGTAACTCGACCCTAATTTGATTTAGGGTCTTCCACACTGTGTAATGAAGGCCTCCCTGGCTGGTCATAGAATATGACCTAGAATATGGCCTAAAACTTACTGTGAGTGTAGTGAATCATAAGACATAAATTGCAACTTTAACTTATAATATTTGTGTGGCTTTTTTATTTGCTCTTGTTTCTCATATTTCACAATTAAAGGTCAAATTTCATGTTTTAACATAACATAGCACTAAATTAACTCAATTGGATCATTTTTTTGGCTTCTATGATTTGACAATTGACAGTAGTAATGACAGTTGCTTTTTTTGCATTGGCATGGATTAATATCTAGGCATATTTAGTTTGCATGTAGCCTTGTAGCACCTATTTAGCTGTGAACTATATAAAGTGGTCTCAACATAAAGATCAAAATGGTGTTACCTAAAGGATGGAAAAAAGAAATACACACAAGAAAAAAAGGATTGAGCATCGGTAAAATTGATGTTAGTATCAGATCCCCTAATGGGGCAGTTTTTCGCTCTAAAAAGGCACTTGCTACCTATATTGAAGAAAAAAAGTTGCCCTTTTGTATTGAGGATTTTGATTTTACCAGCAAGAAAATAGGGGGTTCAATAAGTTTTCCTGGCACTAACTCGTCTATAGACTTGTCTAATAATAATATGACCAATCTAGTCACATTAGATAACAGTGTTTTATCTTTTGATGAGAATAAGTCTGATACTCAGTCTATCACCTCTTCAATTTCTTCAAACAATACTGCTACATCCTCAGTTCAAACTGACACTTCTTCTCCCATGATGGCTACATGTGGGGAACTACTATCTAAAAAATGGATATCAGATGACACCATACGACACTACTGCGAAATTTTGGACTCTAAATTTCATCTGGATAATGCATCTTGTCACATTTTAAACCCAATTTTCAGTCATATAATTAAAAATGTTATTGATTTTCAACACTTCTTGGATGGTCTGAGCCTTAAGAAATTTGATTACCTTGTGGTTCCTATAAATGATGCCACATCGTTCGACAAAGCTGGAGGCTCTCACTGGAGTTTGTTGTTTTTAGACAAGATTAAGAGAACTTTTGTCTATTTTGATTCATCCAAGCACCCTGTACTTCAGCATGCGCATACTGTGGCTGAGAAATTGACTGAATACCTGGGTCTTAGCAGCTTAGATGTAGTGTTTTCTCAAGCCCCTTTCCCAACTCAAATAAACAACTACGACTGTGCTATTTACACAATATTAGCAATTGAGCAGTTGGTTCTTGGTATTATTAATGGCTCTGGACCGCAGGTTAACGACATTGGCAGGCTTAAAGTTGAGGATGTTGACCTTGTAAGGAAACGATCATATGTGGCATATGTATTAAATAATAATGTTTTTACCGATAGTGACATCCTACTAACGATGATGAAGGAGTTCAAGCATGAAAATAATACCTTTGATTTACAAAATAAACGTATTTTAGAATTAGAGGAGGAATTGAAAAATTTTCTTAAGCAACATAAAGAGAAGGGTTTTTCTAAATTGGAAAGTAAAACTACTGAGTTAATAGATCTATGCAATGCAACTAATACAAAGATTTCTGAAGATTCATCAAGGAAATCTCATAATCTGCCTTGGATTCTTGCTGAAAATGGAAAGAAGAAATGTGGAAAAAATAAGGATAACGCCAATAAGCCTACCAAACAAACTCATCAGAGTCAACTTGTCTCAACCTCTAATCGATTTAATGTTTTAGCATGCAATGATGAGAGATATGATCCTGAGACCAGTAAGAAAGAAGTAATAACAAAGATTCCTTCTACTGAACTGCGAATGAACAATTCAAAGAAGTCTAAATTTTCAAGAAAATATGAATTTAGAAAAAGCTTTAACATCTCTGAGGACTTACTTACT